GGGCATGGTAGCGCATGCCTGTAATTCCGGTTACTCGGAAGGCTGAGGCGGAAGGATCGCCAGAGCCCAGGAGGTGAGGCTGCGGTGGCCGGAAGCCGCCACTGCACTCCAGTCCGGGCGACCGAGTGAGACTCCAACTCAAAAAAAAAAAAAAAAAGTATTTTGGAGGATTATCTTGTGCTTCATTTTTAAAAAGTTGCAGTTTTTGAACTAATTAGGAAAAAATACTGAGGAGTTACACAGAAAAAGATGGCAACCAGAATGCTATTCCATCAGCCAGATTTTGAATATTCCTTCACTCTGAAATTTCTTGTCAGTCCAAACTATTTTCAAGGTCAATTTCCTTAGGTGAGCCTTGTCCACATTTGGTATCAAAACCAATGCTGACATTTGTTATTTTGGTTTCATTTTCCTTTTTGCATCTTTATGTTTCTTCCGACATTCCTATAATATTATAAAAACAAAAGACATGGTTAACAATAGATGCAAACTGCTTTTAAGGAGTTCGGTAACATAAAATTTAGGTTATTCTAATTGTTGGGGCTGTGGAATCCAATTTTAGAAGTGTTCACTTTAATATGGAATATTCAGACTTTTGGAGTTAAGTGTTTACAATGGAAACTATAATTCAGTCTTTAAAAATCTCATGACTTCCTGTTACTTAAGGATCCTGGCTGGTCTTTGGGACCAGTCACTTAATGGAGCCACTGTGCTGTCTCCTCACCTGTAGAATTCACAGGTGAAATTAAACAACTTCTAAGTTCCCTTCCAGCACTATAATTCTAAGAGCTTAAATCCGGCTCTAGTTGTCACCTTTTCTGTCTAAATTTTCACATCTCACTCCTGTTATTCTTACTAAATCAGGGAACTATTAACACAAAGATAATACCATATCTATTTTAGGAGATAAGCAATATGAAGAAACAATTACTCACCATACGAAGGTTGTTTGTTCTGGTCTCCCAAGAATTCCTGGTAACATCACTTCCCACTCCTCTCCAGAATAAGTTAGAGCTTACTAGGGGAAAAACAAGGAGGAGGAGGCAGGGAAATATTATTAAAATGGGCAATATTATATTGTTGGTATTATCAAGGTTTCCAATTCTAGTAATGACTTTTTTTTTCAATTTCTACTGATTCTCAAAAATAAATACTTTTTTTGGCAAAATGAAATACTGCTAGGATTTTACTGCTTATACATAATTTGCTATTATGTAACTCTGTTTCTGTCTGTGCTAGGCTTTAAGAAACATGGAGTTCACAACAGCTTCAGAGGTTTTTTTTTTTTGAATTGGCATCTTAACTCTGTCACCCAGGCTGGAGTGCAGTGCCATGTTCACAGCCACTGCAGCCTTGACCTGCAGTGCTCAGGTGATCCTTCTGCCTCAGTCTTCCAAGTAGCTGGAACTACAGGTATGTACCATCATACCTGGCTAATTTTTCTTGACTTATTGTAGTGATGAGGTCTTGCCAAGTTGCCGGGGCTGGTCTCTAACCCGTGGGCTCCAGCAACCCTCTCACCTCAGCCTCCCAAAGTGCTGGGATTATAGGCGTGAGCCACTGTGCCCAGTCTTAGCCTCAATTTTAACCTGAAATTTTTTTGAATCAGGGACTCACTCAGTTATCCAGGCTGCAGTGCAGTGGCAGGGTCATGGCTCACTGCAGCCTCAAACTCCTGGGCTCATGCGATTTTCCCACCTTAGCCTTCTGAGCAGCTGAGATTACAGGCATGCGCCACCATGCCCAGCTAATTTTTAAATTTTTTTTTTGAGAGATGAGTTCTCTCTATGTTTCCTAAACTGGTCTTGAACTGCTGAGCTCAAGCAATCTTCTCAACTTGCCTTCTCAAAGTGCTGGGATTATAGGTGTGAGCCACGCGTCTGGTCCACACAGACTTTTATAGTACTAAAAACTTAGGGGTCGTATATGTTTAACATCTAAAGGAGCCCATGAAATAAAACAAGCCCTTGTTGATGATAATGAATGGGCATGCAATGTGGATGGTGGGTAGCTCTCATCCTTGAGAGCTTTAAAAGTTAACATGCATCAATCTGAATGAGGGTTAAGGTTAAACGACATGACATTACAAAGGGTCAGAAATTCTGGATTATTGTATCTCAGTACACAATGTTAAGAGCTGTGTTATCATCTGTTCTACATAATTTGATGAAAAAGTAGACTTACCTTGAAGTCTTTCATCATTCTTGGAGAAAAAGAAAAATCTAGTGGTTTCTTTCTCAGGCAATGATGCTTCTCTGAAAAGAGAGAAGACAAAAGGAGTGGGGGAAAAGAGAAATAGACATATTTTGGTCGGTTTAATTTCAATATTTAAGAAGAAATATTTACACTGAAAATACAAATAAACTCTTCCTTAAATATATCTTCGTGTTTTGTTCATTTTGCCCTGAGTTAAAATGACCCTGCTCGCTCTCCAGCACTCTTCTAGGCGAAGCTTTGATAATGAAGAATTACTGAAGTGCAAACTCCATCTCCCCTGCGCTGGTTGCTGACATTCTCACTCCACCATTGCTACCCCATTTGCCAGTGCTCCCCATGGAGAGGTGACCAGCCAACCGCAGCACACTCTTTCCTGACCAGTGACTTCACCAGCAGGTTCCCTTCCCTTTTTCTGTGCAATCAATCCAACCTTCCACCTGTACTAACCAAATCTCAAGGAAGAAACACACTCCCCCTTAGAAAAAGACAGCAAACTCTATACAAGAGTTGTAAAGAGAGAATTAAGAGCAGTTTAGACACTTCTAAAATGTGTCTAATTCAGATTTTACAAATCAGGAACTATACTTGCAAAGAAATGAATTGCTTACCCAGGATTGGGACTTCCGTGATCTGTTTCTTCAGTACCATCTTCCTCTTCTGAACTGCTGTCTAGGAAACGAGGGTCATCCTGCCAGACAATCTTCCCAGGTTTCTTTGTTTCAACTTTATAGGTTTCTACATCATTATGATGACAAAAGATGAGACTGTAACTGAACAACCAAGTATTTCTAAACACATTCATTTGATTACTTTTACCATGCACACATATGACTGAATTTCCAATATGTTAATTATAACCTTAAAATAGGCAGTATCATCTTTTTAGATTTTTCAGATATTGAGAGAGCTATTACCATAATTTTGGTATTGCTAGAATAATCTGACAAGGATTGTAGCAATATGAAAAGGTATTACGGCTGGGCACAGTGGCCCAGCCTGTAACCCCAGCACTTTGGGAGGCTGAGGCAAGAGGATTGCCTGAGCCCAGGGGTTTGAGACCAGCCTGGGCAACTTGGAGAAACCTAGCCTCTACAATAAATTAAAAAAAAAAACTAGCTGGGAATGGTGGCATGCGTCTCGAGTTCCATTTACTTGGAAAGCTGAAGTGAAAGGATCGCCTAAGCCCAGCAGGTCGAGGCGGGTGGTAGCTAGGGGTATGCCACTGCACTTCAGCCTGGAGGACAAGAGTGAGACTCCAACTCAAAGAAACAACAACAAAACAAAAGGTTTATGCATGAGCAGTATAACAACAACAACAAAAAGAACAGATAAAATAACAATGGCATCTGTGCTAGCATAAGAAAGTCTAAAATATAATATGAAGCAGGGAAACCAGGTTCCCCTCCTGTTTACTTATAAATGAGAAAAGGAATATATATTTACATTTTCAATTCCCAAAACTTGTTGCTAGAACTGCTGAAAAAGCAACTGCTATAAGCACTGGGCAATCACTTCCCAAGTCTCCAAAATTGCCCAGGTACTTAAAAAACATCTTTCAGGTTGTTGGTGTCTTTAGAACTCATCTCAAGGTCAATTTCTCACATTTGAATCTCAAAGATATAAGAATTATAATTAGTATCCACATTGTGCCAATTCTATTCAACAGTTTGCGCAGACAAGAAAATGAAGTAAGCAGAGGACATGATAAATTGTGTCTTCTTTTCTTTTCTCTTTTTTTTGAGTTGGAATCTTAACTCCTTCGCCCAAGCTGGAGTGCAGAGGCACACACGCTCAGGGCCACCTCAGTGTCGACCTGCTGGGCTCTGGAGATCCTTCCGCCTCAGCCTTCCGAATAGCTGGAACTACAGATGTGCCCTACCACATTGGCTATTTTTTATTTTATTGTAGAGACGAGGTCTCGCCAAGTTGCCTGGGCTGGTCTCAAACCCGCGGGCTCAGGCAATCCACTAGCCTCAGCCTCCCAAAGTGCTGGGATTACAGGCTGAGCCACTGAGCCTGGCCTCTGATTTTCAATAATTTTTTATAACGATTAGATTGTTTTACTTCCTTTTAGAGTACCACAGAGCTGGCATTTGATCTTTATCTGCCGAACACATGTATACTATTTTAACTACTGATCTGTAAAGTAGAATCACTGTAGTTAGGGCTGTGTATATTCTTCTGTATAGATATATCCTGCTTTTTATAGTGAACTTCCAGAAAGCCGAATATGTATCTTTTTTTTTTGAGTTGGAGTCTCACTCTGTCGCCCAGACTGGAGTGCAGTGGCTGCTCCTGGCCACCGCAGCCTTGCCTGCTGGGCTCCGGCGCTCCTTCTTCCTCAGCCTTCTGAGTAGCCGGAATTACAGGCATGCGCTACCACATCCGGCTGATTTTTTGATTTATTGTAGAGATGAGGTCTCGCTGCCCAGGCGGGTCTCGAATCCGCGGGCTCAGGCAATCCACTCACCTCAGCCTCCCAAAGGCATGGGATTACAGGCTGAGCCACCGAGCCCGGCTATCTTTTTTTTTTTTTTTTTTGAGTTGGAGTCTCAGTGTCGCCCAGGCTGGAGTGCAGTGGCACACTCCCGGCCACTGCAGCCTTGATCTGCTGGGCTCAGGCAATTCTTCTGCCTCAGCCTTCCAAGTAGCCAGAACTTCAGGCGCATGCCACCAAGCCTGCCTCGGCCTCCCAAAGCGCTGGGATTACAGGCTTAGCCACCGAGCCTGGCCAAGTTTTTTATTTATTGTAGAGATGAGGTCTTGCCAAGTTGCTCAACTGGTCTCAAACCCTCGGGCTCAGGCAATCCTGAGCCTCCACCTCCCAAAATGCTGGGATTATAGTCGTGAGCCCCAGCACCTGGCTACATGTACATCTTGAACACTGAGTGAGGAACAGACTACTAAGGAAGTGCTGTTTTCCACCTGTGGTCCAGGCTGGCCTTCAGAGGTAAACGTCCTGAGAGGAAAAACAACACTGTGGGTCCTGGTGTTCCCACTCTTCTCTAGGTTTTGGCCAATCTCCAAGGATAAACTGAAATAACTGGCAAACAGATGACATGGTATATTTGTAGCTAGCCAAGAAGGTTACCTATTTCTTCTCCTATAACATACAGCAATGCATTTAAGACATGAAGCTATATAAACGTATGATTTACTAGACTTCTTCATGACTTTTTTCAATTAACAGAAGGGATGCTGTACATTAGTCGATGGGTTCCCTTCATAAGGCAGCTAGCTAGAAGTTTGTTCTCTTAAGTGCAACAACAGTTTCTTTCACAGTTTGAGGCACGTCACATTTATGGCCGTGTAACACTGAATCTCAAACTGTTTATCTGGGTACAAGAAGGAATCCCTTACTGTGTTAACATTAAATCTGTTACACATAATACAGACTCAAATCAAGTTCAAACTGCCTAAAGTGAAAAGATAGAGAAAAAAGAAAAATACCTTCCTTGATGTCTTTAGTGTCTGCATCAAAAAAGGAGAACGTGAACCCACTGGGCTGCTCGACCCCACTTGTCAGAGCTGCGGGGTCCTGAATTTCCTCGGGTTTCTTGCTGTCACAGTCCTCATTCCAGGGTTTGTCCTCTTCCTTTTCACTGGTATCTTTTGTAGTTTGGAATATTTCTTTCAAATCTGTAGCAATGTTATAATACGTTTCTTTAGACACCTCAGGTAACTTCTCAGCTTCCTCCCTTTTCTTTTTTCGTTTTGCTTTACTGCAATGACAAATATAGACATGTACATCACAAAGAAAGAAGTTTTGAAATGAGGAAAGGAAAAATCTTGGGTAGCTTTATTTCTAATCTTTTAACCACCAAGAAGACCCACACATAAAACTCCACAAATAAAAACAGAATCTTGACCAATAAGTTCCTTTTATGCAAATCTCAAACAGCTGCAGATCTTAAACATGAATCATATTCTCCTATCTCTTATCCTCTGAACTGCATTTCAGAAATTACACCTAAACTAGTAGCTGTAAGTAAAGCTTATAGCTTAGCCTCAATGGGTCTCAATTTCCTCATCTGCAAAATGAACATGCTAAACCACGTGATTCCTGAGATCATTTTAAGTTCTGAAGTTTTGTGAATTTTACCAAACTGATATAAATGGAATCAATTATAATTCAGTTTTAGAAATGAATCATAAATGTGCAGTTTCTTTTGGGATGAAAAAATTTTTTTTTTTTTTTTTTTGAGTTGGAGTCTCACTTTGTTACCCAGACTAGAGTGCAGTGGCCGCTTCCGGCCACCGCAGCCTCAACCTGCTGGGCTCTGTTGATCCTTCTGCCTCAGCCTTCCATGTAGCTGGAACTACAGGTGTGTACTATCACACCCGGCTAATTTTTTGATTTATTGTAGAGATGAAGTCTCACCAAGTTTCCCAGGTGGGTCTCAAACCTGGGATGAAATTTTGATGTTAGCATAAATCTGGTCTATATTTAGGAATGAATATGTTTTTCTCTTTGATCTTAAAAAGTTACATGTCAGTTTCCAATACTGAGCTTTTAACTAATGATAGATTAAAATCCTTCTTCTTCTATGACCAGGCCAAAGTTAGTAATGTATTACCTAAAATAATACATGATCAGGATATCCTAAGTAACCATCTTAATGGTGGAGACTATTTCAAAGAGAGAAACTTTTAATACTTCATTAAATAAACCAACCTGGCTAGGTTTTAAGACAGATATGTCTCTTATGAAACCAAGCTCCATAAAAAAATGGTAGACAGTTCTAAGCAATTATCACTAAACTACCACATGGTGGCTTTAAAATTTGTTTAAAAACTGTTTGATATATTTTTCTTCTCTTAAGTGAGGGTTAGACTTGTGATCTCTCTTTTTTTTTTCAGTTGGAGTCTCACTCTGTTGCCCAGGCTGGAATGCAGTGGCATGCTCACAGCCACTATAGCCAGCTTATACCTCCTGGGTTCACCTCAGTCTTCCAAGTAGGTGGAACTACAGGCACGTGCCACCACGCCTGACTAATTTTTTGATTTTCTTGTAGAGATGAGGTCAGGCAGGAGCCACCGTGCCCAGACAACTTGTGACCTCTTTTAATGAACATAATAAGGCAGATGTGGTGGTATATGACTTCTAAGACTAAGGTCATAAAAAAGCCAGAAGAGCCTTGAAAAAACTATTAGAAGAAACCACATGGCCTTTGAAGAGGATTCAGGTAAAGTTTTGGAGGAAAGTGAGGTAACTGCTATTAGAAACTGGAGGAAAGAAGATGCTTGTTATGTGGTAGCAGAAAGTTTAGCAACACTGTAGTGTGTATCAATGTGGGAAATAGAAAATATACCTAACTAATTGGTTGATCTAGCTAAGAAAATGTCCAGGAAGTGTTGAATGTAATTTTCTGGTTTCTTCTTAACTGCTTACGGTATGAGAGGAAAGAGTGAAATTAAAGGAATAATACCTTTTTAAAAAAAAAGCCAGGACTTCATTTTGAAGATGCCTAATCTCCAGAAGGCAAATGACATGAAATTTAAGAAACTGCATCTAAGCAAAGATCAAATCATAACACTCTCAGAAAAATATGGTCTAAAGCAGGGGTTGGTAAACTATGGCCCATGGACCAAATCTAGGCACTGCCTATTTATGTTTGAACTGCAAGAAATTTTTTTTAATAGTTTGAAATGATTGGGGGGGGAATGAAACATGATTTCATGACATGCAAAAATCATATGAAATACAAATTTCAGTGTCCATTAATAGTTTTATTGGAATACTTCTTTGCTCTTTTGCTTCCATATTATCTATGGCTGTTTTTCTGCTATAAAGGTAGAGTGGGGTCATCACAACACTGCTGGGCCTGCAAAGTCTAACATATTTATTATCTGGCCCAGCCCAGAAAAAAGATGTATAGACTTTAGTCTAAAAACAGAACAAAATTCCTTATTATGACCCGAGAGAGAGCTACGTCCACTGTTCAAACAAAAGGGCTTCCGGGGAGGCTGAAGGCATTGTCAGTCATGCTTCCCGCAGAGTACCGATGCTCGGGAGAAAGGGCTCAACTCAAAACGGTTTGTGGGACTTCTGTAATGCAGTGGTCTCCCAGAGGATTTTCAGGAGACCCACAAAGATGCTAAAAGAATTATATTCACAGAAATACTACTATATTAGATGGACAGTATAGAAACAATCTAAAATGAACAGGTTTTTGGACTTCCAAATTGCCAAAAGCAATAAGCAGGCTGAGAAAATGTGTGCTACCATTCATGAAAAAAGGAGGGTGATCGAGAAAGAAGTCAACAGCGAGAAATAAAAACGAAATTCTAAGCCTCCCAAACCCCCCAACGAACCAAAGGGAGCCCCTCTTGGTTAAAGGGGCCCTCCAGAAACCATGAAAGCTGAGTTCCTGGCCATGATCTCCTTCCCCACTCTCCCTCCCCAATTGCCAGGAGGGTTTTTTCCCTAAGGACTAACCCATAATCAGTCCTTTCAAAAGACTCCACACTTACTAGGTGTAGAACAAAGGCAAGAGGAGATTAATAAGTACTTTCACCCCTCTCCCAGAGACGTGTCTGCCTAATTGTTCTCATCCTGTATTACTGTTTCTTCAAAGGTTCACCTTATCTTATGTAAAATGTAGATTATTGGGCACTAATGAAAGTCATACAAGAACGTAAACCACTGGCCTTACCACCTACCTTCTACTTTTCTTCCACGCCTTTTCCCTTTAAGGAACTGTATATATACTAAACCTTCTGAAAACCATACTAAACCTTCTGAAAACCTCTTCAGATAAAGCAGCCACAGATGTGTCTATGACTTGGATTTTTCCATGACTCGCATTCTTCCCTGGGCATACCTTCAAGCTCTGGTTTACTAAACCTCAACTGACTGAGATTCTTGCCTCAGTCACTCATTTCAGTTACAAAAAATAAATAAATAAAAACAATAACTAATATATTTCACAAAATACCCCTGACTTATTGTGTTCGACATGGATGATCTGAAATAATGTACAACAATTCTATACTTGAGGCAATATTAATACTACTTCTACTTTGGTCTAAAATATGATTCTTTTTAAAATAAACCTTTCATTTTAGAACAATTTTATGTTTATAGAAAGTTGCAAAAATAGTAGTGTTCCAAAATAACCTTCACCTAGGTCCCTTAATGTAAGCATCTTAATGTTACTATGATACAATTGTGAAAACTAAAAGATTAACATTGGCACATTACCATTAACTAACACAAATGTTTCAGGATCCAATTCAGGATACCATATTGCCTTTAGTGATTTTAGTTGCTATTAGCAGTAGGAAAATGAAGAATTTAAATCAGGCAGTTACTGGTTGCTCCATAAATTTGCCATATTTATCAAACTGATTTAATACTAGAGCAGGATAGTGGGCTGAATGGTTGCCTCCAAAAAGCTATGTCCATGTTCTAATTCCTAAAACCTGTGCATATCATCTTATTTGGGTAGTCTTGCAGTATATAATTAAGTTGAGGGCCTTGAGATGAAGAGATAATCCAGGTTTATTCAAGTGGATCTTAAATGCTATCACAAGTATCCTACACAAAATGGAGAGACATCCAGATAGGTGGAGGAGGCTATGTGAAGACAGAGGCAGACACAGAGTGAAGTAGCCTCAAGGAACAGGAAAGATTGGTGGTACTCACTAGAGGCTATGAGAGGCATAAACTGGATTTGTTTCCCTGAGCCTCTAGAGGGAACACAGCCCTTCCACTACCTTCATTTTGGACTCCAGAACTGCAAAGAAATAAATTTTTTAGTTTTAAGTCACCAAGTTTGTGGTAATTTGTTTTGGTAGTCACAAGAAACTAATACAAAGAGAAAACATCAGCCGGGGGCAGTGGCTCACGCCTGTAATCCCAGCACTTTGGTAGGCTGAGGTGAAAGGACTGCCTGAGTTAAGGGGTTCAAGATCAGCCTGAGCAACATGACGAGATCTCGTCTCTACAATAAATAAAAAAATCAGCCAGGCATGGTGGTGCATGCCTGTGGTTCCAGCTACTTAGAAGGCTGAGGCGGAAGGAACACCTGAGTACAGTAGGTAGAGGTTACAGTGGCCGTGAGTGTGCCACTGCATTCCAGTCTGGACAATGGAGTGAGACTCCTACTCAAAAAAAAAAAAAATCATACTAGAGTAGAAGCACATATCATTTATGCACATGATTCTCCTGTGTCAAAAGTTTAGACTTTCTCCACCATGTCAATAATTCCTCTCTAACTCCATCCTTCTACCAATCTTAAACTAAATACAGTGGGACCAATGCGTAAGATATTGTTACTACCTACTTTTTCTTTGTCTAAAATAAGATTAATTAATATGATCCTATTTCTAAAAGAAGTAGCTCAATTACCTTTCTTTTGGTTTATCTTCTCTTTTTCTTTCATAAGTGGCATGGTCATGCCTTGTTGGATCATAACGTACGATGTCTCTGTTAAAAAAAAGGAGGGGAGGTTGGGAGAGATCAATCAGAAAACTAATGTAAAAAATAAATAGCAAATTATATTGTAGCCTTAGAAAGATTCTACTTATTGGGCAAGATGAAGTTAAATGATTTCAAGGAAGATAAAATAATCTTTTTTTTTTTTTTTTTTTTTTACAGGGGCTCACACCTGTAATCCCAGCACTTTGGGAGGCAAAGAAATAATATCTTAATTACCTACTTTTGAGATTCCCTGGATAGTTTTGAACCTTGAAAATTATTTTATTATTTTTTTTGAGTTGGAGTCTCACTCTGTTGCCAAGGTTGGAGAGCAGTGGCACGCTCCTGGCCACTGCAGCCTCAACCTGCTGGGCTCAGGCAATCCTTATGCCTCAGCCTTCCAAGTAGCTGGAACTACAGGCACGAGTCACCACGCCTGGCTAATTTTTTGATTGACTGTAGAGATGAGGTCTTGCCAAGTTGCAGGCTGGTCTCGAACTTGTGGCCTCAGGCAATCCTCTCACCTGGGCCTCCCAGAGTGCTGGAATTATAGGTGTGAGCCACTGCGCCTGACCTGAAAATTATTTTAAATGTACTAAAATATATGCTGATAAAATGATACACTATCTGGTATTTGCATAAACTATTTTATTGGGTAAAACAGAGACTGGATAAGGGTAAAGATGAGACAACTGGTCACCCGCTGGTGAGTAAAGAAGCTGGGTGATCAGCTTTATCAGGGGTTTCATTCCTCTGGTCTCTCTAAATTGCATATGTTTGAAATTTTCCATAAGTTACATTTATATAGTTTAATAATTTTACAGTTAATACTAAACTACTTTCCAATTGTTTCACTAATGGGAGCAATGGGGCTAGGATATTTAAGTATATAAATACTGAAATAGTTTGAGATTAGTTTCTTGAAGTGAATCCCTGGGTCAAAGGTAAGTATATTTTGAAGGGTCTGATACATATTACCAACTGCCCTCCCGAAGAAGTTAAAAGTAGCCTGGTTTTAAAAATGAGTTCAAGAAGACATTTACAGCAAAGAAAAATATGGTAGAATGGGATGAAACATAACCATACTTAAATTTCTTAGAAGCTACTGATCCTTTGCTTGTAGAATTGCTCAAGTTGATGTGCAAAACACTTTGCATAACATTCAGGGCTTTCTCTTTTTCTGCAGCAAGCTCTTCTTCCTCCGCAGTTTTATTTTCATTTACTTCTTTGAGAGAAAAGAGTAAATAATAGTCTCTTGAAAAACACAGCTTGAGTAATGTCAATCATCCTATACTTACTAAGCACCTAAACATGTGCAAAGTCCATTAAGATAGAAAGAAAAGTTTAATCTCATTTCGCTAGCCTCTCTATCCTAAGACCCTCACACCACAGCCAACCCAGAAAGTTTGCAATACCAGCAAACAAAAAGTTTCATTTCTATTCTTTTTTTTTTGAGTAGGAGTCTTAGTCTGTTGCCCAGGATGGAATGCAGTGGCACACTCAGGGCCACCACAGCCTCAGTCCGCTGGGCTCAGGTGATCCTTCCACCTCAATCTTCCAAGTAGTTGGAACTACAGGTTAGTGCCACCACACCCTGCTAGTTTGTTGATTTATTGTAGAGATAAAGTTTCACCAGGTTGCCCAGGCTGTTCGCGAACCCCTGAACTCAGGCAATCCTCTTACTTCCACTTCCAAAACTGCTGGGATTATAGGCATGAGCCACTGCATCTGGTTTCTATTGCTAATTATGAAAATAAATCTGCATTTAATGACTTTTTTTGTGAGTCAGGGTCTCACTCTGTCACAGAGGCTGGAGTGCAGTGGCATGCTCATGGTCATTGCAGCTTTGACCTGCTGGGCTCACCACCTCAGTCTTCCAAGTAGCTAACTACAGGGATGCGCCACCACACTCGGTTAATTTTTTTTTTTAATTATTTATTGTAGAGACGAGGTCTCACCAAATTTTCTAGGTTAGTCTTGAACCCCTGGACTCAGGCAATCCTCTTGCCTTGGCCTCCCAAACTGCTGGGATTATAAGCTTGAGCCATTGAACCTAGCCCAGATTTAATGACTTTTTTTTTTTTTTTTAATTTTAAAGATGTAGAGAACAATTCAGGATGAGGTATACAAATGTTTATTATGCAGGTACCCGGGTTTAATGACTTTTAATGGCAAGTCTAAAGTTGTTTTTTTTTGAGTTGGAGTTTCACTCCATCGCCCAGGCTGGAGTGCAGTGGCATGCTCACAGTCACCCCAGCGTCCACCTGCTGGGTTTAGGCGATCCTTCTGCCTCAGCCTTCCAAGTAACCGGAACTACAAGTATGCACTACCATGCCTGGCTAACTTTTTTTTTTTTAATTTATTGTAGAGATGAGGTCTCGCCAAGTTGCCCAGGCTGTTCTTGCTGGGATTACAGGCGTGAGTCACCACACCCAGCATCTTTTTTATTTCTGTAATTCAAACTAGCTATTTAACTTTGTTCTCTGATTTTTTTTTCTAGTAGTGAGGAAAGCAGCTTATAGAGTTCCATGATATATTTATGTGTGTCAGGCAAATGACTTTTTTCCTGAATACATGTTACTGAATCTAAGACTGAAGTAACTATCTACTCATGTTCTATTAAGTCAGTAAATTACCATCTTTTGGTATCATTATTGTTTTTAGATTTGCATGTAGTTTAGAATTATGAAATGTAGTCTATAATCACTATAGTTTTAAAGTTAGTATCTTGCTGTATTACATTTGTCAGTCTTTTTTTTTTTTTTTTTGAGTTGGAGTCTCACTCGGTCGCCCAGACTGGAGTGCAGTGGCTGCTCCCGGCCACTGCAGTCTCGACTTGCTGGGCTCCGGTGATCCTTCTGCCTCAGCCTTTTGAGTAGCCGGAATTACAGGCATGCGCTACCACGCCCGACTGATTTTTTGATTTATTGTAGAGATGAGGTCTCGCCAAGTTGCCCAGGTGGGTCTCGAACCCGCGGGCTCAGGCAATCCACTCACCTCAGCCTCCCAAAGGTGCGGGATTACAGGCTGAGCTGCCGAGCCCGGCTTTGTCAGTCTTTACATTAAAAAGTTTAGACTACTAAAGTGAGGGGATTGCCTGAGCCCAGCAAGTGGAGGCTGCGGTGGCCATAAGTGCACCACTGCACTCCAGCCTAGGTGACAGAGTAAGACTCTAATTTAGAAAAAGAAAAGAGACAAGTTTAAACCTTCATAGCTCTTTCAACTTACTGCAGGGTATAAATAACCAACTAACAGAACATGGAATAAAATGTTAAGCTAAGTTCTCTACAGAGATGCCTAAAAAATTTCTAAGTGTTCAAATGAGGCCATTTAACTGGATCAAAAAATGCCTTATAAACCAGGTGGAGTATGACGTAGGAAAGACAAAGTTGGATTCCCAGAAGCAGGAAGAAAACATGTCACGTACTGGAAACAAAACGAACACATATGTTAATGTAAGAAAGTGCAAAAAGTTTACATTGCATTAGGTTGAAATATATGAAACTTCCAATAGTCAACACTTTTTGGCTTCCAAAAACAGTAATTTCAATTTTAAACTAATAACCATCAGGGAAGCAGACTGCAATGCCAGAAAGGGCTCAAGGTAGGGTGACTGTACTGTTTACTTGCAGGGTAGACAAAAAACTGCCTCAAAAAGTGGGAAGGAAAGAATAAAAAGACAGGTTTATATCTGATTGCCTAAGAATGGAATGGAAATACCATCAGCACAGAGAGCAAGGTCTGGAAGAGCTTGGTTTAGACTTTGCTGAGTTTTTTTTTTTTTTTTTTTGAGTCAGAGTCTTGCTGTCCCCAGACTGGAGTACAGTGGCATGCTCATGGCCACCGCAGTCTCAACCTGCTTGGGCTCAGGCTAGCCTTCTGCCTCAGCCTTCCAAGTAGATGGAATGACAATTGGCTAATTTTTCTGATTTACTGTAGAGACAAGGTCTCTCCAAGTTGCCCAGGCTGGTCTCGAACCCTGGGCTCAGGCAATCTTCTCACCTCAGCTTCCCAAAGTGCTGGGATTACAGATGTGAGCCACTGTGCCTGGCTAGACTTGTTGAGTTGTAACACAACTCAGGAAAGCCTGTGGAAACATCCGCAGGCATTGACAAAAGACCAGTTGAGAGCCTATCAGAATAGTCAGGAGCAATAAAGACCCAAACCTGGGAAATAATCATGTTCAAGTAAAGGCTAAAGTCACTAGGGCTTAAAGAACCTTGGGGAAAACTTACGTTTAGAAGCAAAAGGAAAATTAGGAAACAAGAGTTAAGAAGAAAACCAGAAAGTTATGAAGCAACGAAAACAAAATGAAGAGAACATTTCAAGAAGGAATGATCAACAGTGACAAATGCTCCAGGTCACCTGAAGATGGTGTCACTGGAGACAATGCTACTGTACTTGAAGAACAAGCTGTTCATAACTTTGAAGGAACACATACCCCAAGAGTTGCAAGAAAACAGTCAGAAGAGGCAGAAGTTAAGAAAATAACCTCTATCTGTAGCTTCTAACTATTCCCAAGGTTCTGTTCAGCTCTGTGGTTTCAACATGGAATTTTGAGTGAGAAAGCCAAGTGTCAGTTCTGAAATATATTGGTGTGAACCCTGGAGAATTTCATATAAGCCTCTCTGATCCGTGGTTTCCCGAAATATACAATACTGATAACAATCACCTCAAAGAATTGAGAGGATCAAATTAGAGACTATATTCAATAAAAAACCAACTGCTGCTGAATTAGATGCAGTTTACCTTTTCATTTCAAATTCAGAACTGAGATGAAATGTAAACTTAAAAAATGGCATAGTTAGAGGATTGGTTTTGGGGTTCCATGAGACCTAACTTTGTGTACAGAAATAGAAAGAACTAAAAGAAAGGGAAAGGATGAAAATGCAAGTGACAAACGGGTAACAGGAAGTATGAATAGTGAGGATTAAAATGCAGATTAGATTAACCAGGAAGGAGAAAAATAAAAAGTAAGACAGAGAAGTTATAAGACTGGGAGAATCAGAGAGTTCATTCAAGGCAGAAAAGGATATGAATAGAAGGTCTAGACCACACATGGTGGCTTAGCCTGTAACCCCAGCACTTTGTGAGGCTGAGGCAAGTGGATTGCCTGAGCCTGTGGGTTCAAGACCAGCCCGGGCAACTTTGGTGAGACCTCATCTTTACCATAAATCAAAAATTAACCAGGTGTGGTTGGTAGCACGTGCCTGTAGTTTTGGCTACTTGGAAGGCTGAGGCGGAAGGATTGCCAGAGCCCAGCAAGTCAACGCTGGGGTGGCTGTGAGCATGCCACTGCACTCCAGCTTGGGTGATGGGTGATGGAGTAAGACTCCAACTCAAAACAAAAAAAAAGAAAGCCAGGAGTGACTTAACCATTTTTCATGGCTTCAACCAGAACCTCTCCTTCTTATCAAGCCAGGGTCTGGAAGAAGGAAAATGGTACCATTGGTGGCTACTATCTATTTTTGTCATTACTGACAACTTCAGATAATTAACTTTTTCTAAATACATTAATAAATTTATTATAAAATATTACCTATATTATAGAATCAATATAGATTATATAATACATCACATATATAATAAAATAAGAAATATCAATGAACCAAACATTTGATAATAAACTCGCTGAATTCACTGTCTTGAGGAACAGAGCTTCTTCATGTGTTAAACAAAGGAGATACACTAGAGGATTCATCAGAGTCCCCCAGCTCTGACATCAGAACTGTTTGGACAATGATGCACTTACCGTCCTGTTCTTCTTCACTGTCACTTTCTAGAAATCGAGAATCCATGCGGAATCTGTCATCAGTGCCGAAGTGTGACTGTAAATTCATGAGCTACACAAAAACCAGACACAATTGATTGCCAACATTTCCAAGAAAATTGCTTCTAAAGAAGACTCTCCAAGTACATCTTCCCAGGCCCTGAGATTCACTACATTAATATGCGTGCATAACTTTACCTGCCTATGAACCAATCAGAGAGGATCACAGAGTGCTTGCTCCTAAAATAAACACCAATACTGTAATGTGGGTCACGGTCTGCCTGAATTTACCCAGATTTAAGGACTATCTCAAAAAACAAGGACATATTGCAAGTTTTATTATGTTCAATCTTTACTAACCTTCTGTCCAGCTCGGCCCTCAAAGTGAGGTTTAATTTTGAACCTGTTGCTGTCATCTTCGGAATCAGATTCCTCTTCATCACTGCTGTCAAACAGCTTCCCAGATGTTTTACCCACAGACTGCTGTAAGAAAACAGAAACATTTATTAATAACTGAGGTACCAGATACATGTTGTATGGGAATTAAAAAAAAAAAGGAAACTGAGGCAATCAGAATTTCCTTCACAATGTAATCTCCCCTCCCTCACATTTAAAAACCAGCAACCCACATGCATCTACCAGGAACAAGTGGTTGGAAGAGCAGATGGAAACTCCTGACTCTGTGATGGTTAACTGGCCCCTGAGATAATTAGTCCAGAGGCTCCCCAGTGCAGCCTGTATTTGGGAGGGGCAGTTATTACACGTAAGAACAGCTTCTGTAGTGTTTCACTAATACTGATGTCACTTCAGAGCTGATGTGGAGAATATAGGTTCACGTGATAGAAAATCTCCAAGGCTCCTTGAATGTCACCGTGTGGTGGCCTGGGGAGCCCTGGGTTTCATTGCAGCCCTCAGGGGGATTTTATGTTGAGTCTGATGGTTGGTCATAAGGAGGTCTTGGTATACGACAGACAAAAATGGATCTGCAAAAGTAGACAAATGCCCACAGGGACATCCTGAACTCCTTACTTTCACCAGTTCCTCTCCTAGATGGCTATGTTCCTGAGCAGATGTCTCCTCCGTTTCACTTTCACTGTCAGAACTGAAGATGATGTGCATTGGCTTGTCCTCTGGGTGACCATCCTGTGGAGGCCATGAGAAGTATTACACCATAAGACAACCTAATCTCAAACTGAATGTGTCCGAAGCTATCACTCTTTCCCCATCAAGTATACTTCCTAACCCTTTCCCTTATCTGGTGAATGCCTTCTTTGTCTGATTATTTGACCAAGACAGAAACGTACAACTCTTCTTTCTTCCTATCTATTCAACCTTCTTGGTATCTCTTAAATCTATTCCCATCAAGTTGCCTTGGTTCTGGCTCTTGAGCTCCCAACGGCTCTCCCTAGTTCCAGATTTGACCCATTTGATTTGTTTTTGCCCTGGCTTGAAGGATCTCTCCCAAACAGAGGTCTGCCAACTTTTTTTGTAAAGGGCCAGAGAGTAAATATTTTAGGCTTTGTAGGTCACATATCTCTGTCCTGTATTTAAAAACCATTTTTAGTCTGAAGGCTATACATAAATAGGTCATGGGCTAGACTACTTGTGAGCTATAGTTTGCCAGTTCCAATTCCAAAATTGATCCAACTAATCTTCATTCCTGTGCTTAAAATTCTTGACTGGGCACAGTGGCTCAGTCTGTAATCCCAGCACTTTGGGTGGCCGAGGCAAGAGGACTGCCTAAGCCCAGGAGTTTGAGACCAGCCTCGGCAACTTGGTGAGATCTTGTCTCTATAATAAATCATAAAAATTAGCCGGGCATGGAGGTGTGTGTCTATAGTTCCAGTTACTTGGAAGGCTGAGGCGGAAAGATTGCTTAAGACCAGCAGGTCAGCCGGGCTCAGTGGCTCAGTCTGTAATCCCGTGCTTTGGGAGGCTGAGGTGAGTGGATTGCCTGAGCCCGTGGGTTCGAGATCCGCCTGGGCAATTTGGCGAGACTTCATCTTTATAATAAATCAAAAATCAGCCGGGCGTGGTAGCGTGCCCCTGTAGTTCTAGCTGCTTGGAAGGCTGAGGCGGAAGAATCGCCGGAGCCCAGCAGGTCGAGGCTGTGGTGGTCGGGAGCGGTCACTGCACTCCAGTCTGGGTGACAGAGTGAGATTCCAACTCAAAAAAAAAAAAAAAAAAGACCAGTAGGTCGAGGCTACGGTAGCCATGAGCGAGCCACTGCACTCCAGCCTGGGCAACAGAGTGAGACTCCAGCTAAA